GCCCTCCCCCACCTTCCCAGCAACCCTATCAAAGTTGCAGCCGCGTTAATGATCAGCCCGCAGAACCCATCGTCGGTATCAGTGATTCGCCGCCTACCACATCAGACCAGATAAAGACGCAGACGTCACAGGAGTGCCACTGGGCATGTCCCTCCAGCCCCTCGCTAACCCGACCGCTGGACGTCAAAGACAAAGAAGGACTTGACCGTCAAGACGGACGCTGCGTCACCGCCCTCCTCACCCCGATGCATCGACCAACACTCCGGCCCTGATCAAGACACCTTGTTTTTTTTTCGCCACCCGTGGACCCGCGGACCCGTGCTCTCCCGTTGTTGACAGATCCACAGGAATCATGGTCACTCCGTGGACATTGGTCCCTCTTCTGGTCTGTCTGGTGAGTTGCTTTCTCTCTCTCTCTCTCTCTCTCTCTCATTTTTTAATCTTCGTTTGTAAATATTTAAAGTTGATGATCAGACGTTGAGTAAACAAAACGGAAAGGGAACGAGCGACATAAAAGTAAAGTGCTTTTCTTCGTAGATGATGTCAATTATCACTGCAGTATACGCTTTTTTGAAAACACCGGATCCGATCTGAGTCCGACCACTCCGAGATTCCTCCGATTAGTCCAGGGCTAGGCTAGGCTAGAAAATAATTGGAACGTCCATAAAGAATCGGCAGAGATACTGAAAATGTACATTCAAAGTTTGAAGTACAGCAGGGTGAAAGAACATACCTGAGGTCGAAGTATTACTGCGATACATTTTTCATGTCTTCTGACATTTTTTTTAACTTGCGCAAAAAAAAGACCTGACGCCAAAAACAAAAGCCCAAAATAAATTCCCAGAATGTTTATCGTAGTTTTATTTTTTTGTTTGTTAATTCTCATAATTCTCAAAAACATAAGAGAGATTAAAAAAAAAAAAAAGGACCCGTTCGGTCGGGGGTAGAGGACTTGTTTCCTGGTCGCTCGAAGTTGCCCAACTTGTGGTACCTTCAACAAAGACACCTAATTTATACTCCAAAAATGTACCCTTTTAAATTGCCCACAAATGCCCCAGGGCAACTGGAAAAGATCGGATAAAAAGATTTTTCCGATTCTTTATATTTTATTGTAATTAATTAATTAATTGTAAAAAGGTTGACATTCCGATTGTTAATTTGTAATTATTTTGAAATCCTGAAGTTTCCATTTTATTGTTCTGGCAGAACGACATGCAATAGCTGACACGGCAGTACACAGTAGTACACAGTACCGCTCCCGTGTCACGGGGATATTTATGTCTTTTGTACTTTTAAACAAATACATAAAATGTAATTACGTGAACAGAAACCTTAATGACTAATGTGCACGTACGTCACCGGGTACAGTGGTTAGGTTCGGGCCTGCACTGCAGTAGGTCAGAGGTTCGAATTCCACCTAACCCCAAAAAAACACCAGAGGGAAGATTTAAAAATTTTTTTTTTAATTTTTTTCTTCTTAAATCAACAGTCACTATTTTGTGTGTGTGCGCGACTAATGTGCTAGTATTGTTGTTATTGTTAGCCAAAATGCTTTCGTGGTCCTCCAAACATTCGCACTCACATTCGCACCAACTCATAATCTCCATGTTTCAGACTCGGTACCAGCTGAGAACCCCGCTCCTCCACTTGAGACAGCTCGCTGTCTTCTGACCACTGTGGTTTTATATTTGACTTTTTTTTCGTCCACTACCCAGACGCTGACCGACGCCTTACACGAGCCTGGAATTTGTGCGTTCTATGATGAGTGTGCAAGGAACCCACTGGTAGAAGGGTCGCTCCTTCCACCGATGGTCCCCTGCGTGGACTACAAACCTGCCCGACTGGTGATCGGAGAGGACTACAAAAAACTCAAAACGGTCTGTGTCTCCTGCGAACTTCACACATCAGTACAAAGTCGACAAAGGACCTCTTTTTTGGGGGGAATGTTTTGGCAAAATCCAAATTTTTGGTCTGATGTTGAAGATGATTTTTCAAATTTTGATGTTTCTTCATGTTTCTCATCAAAATATAAAGTTTAGAATTTTTTTTGGACAAACTTTTTGGGAATTTTTCGGAAAAATCCAAATTTTTGGATGATGTTGAAAAAAGGTTTGAGGAAAATTATTGAAAGATGATTTTTCAAAATTTGATGTTTTCTGTGTGTTTCTCATCAAAATATAAAGTTTTGAATTTTTTTGGGACAAACATTTTTTGGGGAATTTTTTGGCAAAATCCAAATTTTTTGTCTGTTTTTGGTCAAAACTTTGATGAAAAATTTGAAATTTCTTTTTTCAAAATTTTGAAACTGAACTGTCTGATCTGTGGGTGGGGGGGATCCAGATGTGGCTCCTTAGCTAACATTAGCCGTGGTGTCTGTGTCGTTGCAGCTGTGTCCTATGCTGGACCGAGGCGAGGGAAGGACGCGCGCCTGCTGCTCCAGCAAACAGATAAAATCGCTCGACATGAGTCTGAGTCTGTCCAAGGCCGTCCTGAACCGGTGTCCTTCCTGTGCCGACAACTTCGCCCATTTGCACTGCATCAACACCTGCAGCCCCAACCAGACCCTAACGGTGAAAGTCACGAGGACCATGAACGTCACCGCACTGAACAAGACGAAGGAGGTCGTGGTGGGTTACCAAGCGTTCCTCTCCAGCGCCTTCGCCGAAGGCGCCTTTGACTCCTGCAAGAATGTCCGGATCCCTGCCACCGGAGGGTACGCCATTTCCACCATGTGTGGCCGCTACGGCCACAAGCTGTGCACGGCCCAGCGTTGGTACGACTTCCAGGGTGACTCCAGTAACGGCCTGGCCCCGCTCGACATCGACTTCAGCCTGGTAAAGGAGGGCGAGACCGAGGGGATACCCGACGGCGTTGTTCCCTACGACGGGGAATCCTTCAGGTGCAACGAGACCACACCGACCGGAGGTATTGCCTGCTCCTGCCAGGACTGCCAGAGCTCCTGTCCCAGCGTGCCTCCCCCGCCACCGCCCGTCGCTCCCTTCAGATTGTTGGGGACGGACGGCTTCTTGGTCATCTCCGTTATTTTACTCTGTCTCCTGATACTCACCTTCCTCCTGTACCTCGCCGTGTCCTACTGGGTGAGCTCTCGGAGGAAACACGATCAAGAGCGAGGGCAGAGAAAGAAGAATGGCAAGAACAGCAACGACGTTAGCGAACTGGTGGTTCATCCGTCACAGGTGACCTGCGCCGAGAAGAACAGCCTGGCAGCCCAAGCTCTGCTGAGCTCAGGATTCAGGAACTGGGGAACCGTCATGGCCACCTATCCCCTGACAGTGAGTACTTTAGCGGTAAAATATGGATTAAACGTAGGGGTCTCCGAAGTGATGAAGAGACGGCACGGGGAACCCTGAAATATACAGTGTTCCCTCTTCTGTAACGCGGTTCTCCTTTGGTCCCTCAGCGCATCGTAGATTTTTTAAAAATCCGATCACGCAACATTTTTGCTATATCGAGGGTAAATGAGATTTGGGTTGGGGAATCTAAGATACCCACATTATGGTGAGCATTTAATTAAAGTAAGTGTAATGACCTAAGTTGGACACTGGGGGCACTGTTGTTGTTCGACAGTTGATAACAGTGCGGGTGAGGTTCGTAAAGGGTAAATATATATGTATATGGTAATAAGTATCTGACTTCTACTTCGCGATTTTTACCATTTCGCGGAATGTCTTGAAATGCAACTACCGCGATAGTAGAGGGATCTATGGAAACTTGAGGGTTAAAGACTAAAAAAGGCAAAAAAGATATAATAG